GTTATTTTAGTTCGATTCTTTAGAGAATTAATTTTAATTATGGAATTTAGTGATTGTCTTCCAGTACACTAAGCGAGCTTTTTTTTTCAATAAATATTATTATAATCTATATTTAGTTTACATATGAAGTGAAGAAATTTCAGAATTTTTTTTGATAATATCATCTATCAGTATAGATTAATTAAATGAACACTCTCCTACGGATTTCAAACGTTAAATAAAAAAAATTTTAATGACCAAAATTTATAAAAAAAAAAGTAAAAAACAGTTGGGTTTTAAACTTTTGAATATCTTTTTTGTTTTGAAAATAATATATAATAAAATTTGAAAGAAAAAAATAACTCGATATAGAATAATAAATGTCTTTGACATCCAATTATACCACTGAAAAACTTTTTTCATTTTTGAATGGCAGTTCCAAAAAAATGTACTTCTATCTCGAAAAAGCGTATTCGTAAAAAAATTTGGAAACAGAAGGGGTATTGGACATCGTTGAAAGCTTTTTCGTTAGGGAAATCACTTTCTACAGGTAATTCCAAAAGTTTTTTTGTACAACAAAATAAATAAAAAATACTCGAATAATTAGAATTAGCCTAACTTAAAAACAAAATTTTTAGAATACATATAAAAAGGGGTGGAGTTCTTATTTTTCCCATCACTAACTTGATCTATCACTAACTTGATTTAACTTGATCTAACTTGATGCAATACTAAATAAAGATCTTGTATTTCCTCTGAACGCGGAAATACAAGATCTTTAAGTGAAATCAATAGGTTCTTGAAATTAGTTTAAGTTAAAAATTTTGCACTTTATACCTTTAGGAATCGTTATTTCCCTGAATTCTTATATTCTTTAACTTGGAATCGAAGTTATAAAAGAATCTATCCACAATAAGTCAATATTAGATAATAATAATAATATAATAAATAATATATGATATTCTTTTTAAGTGATCAAAAAATATTATCTTTGTACAAAATTAAAAATAAAAAGGTGCATCAAAATCGATATTTTTATAATTAGTTTTTATATTTCTCTTGAGCGACTTAGGCAAATCTGATTTTGTTTCAAATTTATAAGGATTTTAGAGAAGTTTTAATTTTTCGAAAAACCTTTTTTTTATTAATGAAATAAATTATAAATTCCATTGCTTTGACTTCTTTATTTAAATTTAAATCTCGACGATTGCATAAAAACTTGTTAGTATTGTTTTGAACAAGTTGCCGCTATGGTGAAATTGGTAGACACGCTGCTCTTAGGAAGCAGTGCTAGAGCATCTCGGTTCGAGTCCAAGTAGCGGCATAAGATCTTATAAAAGAGATATTATAAGTTTTATAATCAAATTAATACTTAATACCCGACTTTTGTTTTATAAAATAGGGTAAAACCTAGTATTAATTTATTAATTTTTAACAAATGTTTTATGATTTTTTCAATTTTAGAGCATATATTAACTCATATATCTTTTTCGGTCGTTTCAATTGTACTGACAATTTATTTTTTAACTTTATTAGTTAATTTAGATGAAATCATAAGATTTTTTGATTCATTAGATAAACGAATCGTAATTACGTTTTTTGGTATAACAGGATTATTATTCACCCGTTGGGTTTATTCAGGACATTTTCCATTAAGTAATTTATATGAATCCTTAATTTTTCTTTCATGGACTTTTTCAATTATTCATATGGTTTCCTATTTAAAAAATAAAAAAAAAAATTACTTAAACGCAATAACTGCGCCAAGTGCTATTTTTATTCAGGGTTTTGCTACTTCAGGTCTTTTAAACAAAATGCCTCAGTCTGTAATATTAGTACCAGCTCTACAGTCTCAGTGGTTAATGATGCACGTAAGTATGATGATATTAGGCTATGGCGCTCTGTTATGCGGATCATTATTATCAATAGCTCTTCTAGTCATTACATTTCGAAAAGTTGGACCTACTTTTTGGAAAAAGAATATAAAAAAAAAATTTTTATTAAATGAATTATTTTCTTTTGATGTACTTTACTACATAAATGAAAGAAATTCTATTTTACTACAACAAAACATTAATTTTAGTTTTTCTATAAATTATTATAGGTATCAATTGATTGAACAATTAGATTTTTGGAGTTTTCGTATTATTAGTTTTGGATTTATCTTTTTAACCGTCGTCATTCTTTCAGAAGCTGTATGGGCTAATGAGACGTGGGGTTCATATTGGAGTTGGGATCCAAAAGAAACATGGGCATTTATTATTTGGACCATATTCACAATTTATTTACATATTAAAACAAATAGGAATGGTCGGGGTATAAATTCTGCAATTGTGGCTTCGATAGGCTTTCTTTTAATTTGGATATGCTATTTTGGCGTCAATCTTTTAGGAATAGGTTTACATAGTTATGGTTCAATTACATCGAATTAAATAAAACATTAACCAAAAAAGAAAGGAATCCAAGTAAAAAAGAATAGCATCTATATATAACTTCATATCATATTAAGTTAATAAATCTAATTTAGGTTTTAGTAGTAAATCATCAAGAACCTTTTGAATCAAGTAGTACAATGATTCAAAAGGTTCTCACAATACAAAAACCAAAGACTTCTGATTACAACTCAATTTAATGCTTTTTTTTCTTTCTTGAAAACTATCCATAAAAATAATTAGATAAAATGGATTCGACCTTGTCAATTGCTAATGAGAGCACAAAATCAGGATAAATCTGAATACCAATTATGGGTAGAAGAATAGAGATTGAAAGAAATAACTCTCGGGGTCCAGAATCAAAAAAAGAAAAGTTTTTGGCATTAATTAACTTGTATCCATAAAACATTTGGCGTGACATAGATAATAAATATATAGGAGTTAATATCATTCCAATTGCCATTACAAAAATAATTAAAATTTTTGAAATTAAGAAATATTTTTGGCTGGTAATTATTCAAAAAAAAACGATTAATTCTGCAACAAAACCACTCATGCCCGGTAATGCAAGAGAAGCCATTGATAAGATAGTGAACATTGTAAATATCTTTGGAATGGAGATAGCCATTCCACCCATTTCATCAAGATAAACAAGCCTAATTCTATCATAACTCGTTCCTCCCAAGAAAAAAAGTGCAGCGCCAATAACTCCATGAGAGATTATTTGTAAAATAGCGCCATTAAGCCCAGGATCCGTTATAGAACTAATACCGATAATTATAAAACCCATATGAGATACAAAAGAATAGGCTATTCTCTTTTTTAAATTACGTTGACCAAGAGATGTTGAAGCTGCATAAATTATTTGGATTGTACCGACTACCATCAACAAAGGAGAAAACATAGAATAGGCGTGAGGTAATAATTCCATATTGATTCGAACCAACCCATATGCTCCCATTTTTAATAAGATTCCAGCGAGAAGCATACAGGTACTGTAATGTGCCTCGCCGTGGGTATCAAGTAACCAAGTATGTAAAGGTATAATCGGTGATTTGACGGCAAAAGCAATAAGAAATCCAATATAAAATAGTATTTCGAGTGTTATAGGATAGGATTGATTAGCTAATAGTTCTAAATTTAATGTTGGTTCGTTCGAACCATATAAACTTATACCTAAAACGCCTATTAATAAAAAAAAAGAACTTCCTGCAGTGTATAAATTAAATTTTGTAGCTGAATACAGACGTTTCTTTCCACCCCACATAGATAAAAGGAGATAAACGGGAATTAATTCTAATTCCCACATGATGAAAACAAGTAAAAGATCCCGAGAAGAAAATAATCCTATTTGACCGCTGTACATTGCTAACATAAGGAAATGGAATAGTCGGGAATCCCGAGTAACTGGAAAAGCCGCTAAAGTAGCTAAAGTAGTAATAAATCCCGTCAGTAAAATCGTTCCTATAGAAAGTCCATCTATTCCCAGTCTCCAGTAAAAATCAAAAAAATTGATCCATTTATAATCTTCGGACAGTTGAATTAATGGATCGTCGATTTTTAAAATTATAACAAAAGGCGTAGGTCGTTAGAAGAAGTTCTAATATACAAATACATATAGTATACCATTTATTGACTTTATTTCCCCTATGCGGGAGAAATAACATTAACGAACCGGCCGATATTGGAAAAACAACAATCATTGTTAACCAAGGAAAATCATTTGTGGTAAAGACAAGATACACCAGGTCCAAAGAACGCGTACTCAAAAAAAATATATAAATAAAAAATATATAATTTCACTTTTTTGAGTACAAGTACTTGTCAATAAAAAAAATAAAATGTATTCTAAATTTATTCAAATGAGGTTTTTGGTAACGTATCAATAAGCTAGACCCATGCTTCGAGTTGTTTCATGCCATAAATAAACCCGAACGCTCAAAAAATCCGTTGGACAGGCAGATTCACATCTCTTACAACCAACACAATCCTCGGTTCTTGGAGCGGAAGCTATTTGCTTAGCTTTACATCCATCCCAAGGTATCATTTCTAATACGTCTGTAGGGCACGCTCGGACACACTGAGTACATCCTATACAGGTATCATAAATTTTTACTGAATGTGACATAGGATCTATAGTTTGAATGTCATAAATTTTCAATCTAGTAAACTTCTAACTAAATGATATATTAAAATACTAGATGAAGCAATGATTTCCTTTAATAGAATTTTTTAATTAATTCCGGCTCAATTGATAAAAAATCGGGCTAAAATACTTTGATTTCTTAGATTTTCACAAATATAATCTAGAAATATAATCTAGTAAGTAATAACCTATCATATATGCAAATTTCAACCTATAATTTTTTTATTTATGCTACTTATTTAATAAGGTCGATTGGTTGATGCGAGTTGATTTTTTGTTACGATAAATTGACGAGACTATAGCTAATCCAATAGCTGCTTCAACGGCTGCAATTGCGATAACAAAAATGCAGAAAATATCCCCCTTTAGCTGGGAATTATCAAAAAAATCAGAAAATGTTACGAAATTAATATTAACTGCATTGAGTATAAGTTCAAGACACATAAGAGCCCTAACCATATTTCGACTCGTGATCAATCCATAAAGACCAATCAAAAATAAATAGGCACTCAAAACAAGTATATGTTCAAGTATCATTTAGCAACTCCTTATTAATTTTGATTCATTTCAATATGAATAATAAAAAAAATTCACGGGATTCAATCAATTAAAATATAAAAAAGTACGAATAAAACCTATATTAGTAAAAAAAATTTCATAACATACAAAAAGTTTTCTTTGGTCTTTACTAATTAGAACCTTTTTTTATTGACGAGCCACAGAAATTGCACCTATCAAAGCAACTAAAAGAATTATTGAAATGAGTTCAAATGGAAGAAAAAAATCTGTTGGTAAATGAATTCCTTTTGTTGACTATTACTTATTAAATCTTGCTCTAAAATCTGGTTTAATCTTGTAGTCCAAATAACCTCGTACCATGACGTATCGAGAATAGTAGAAATTAATGAAAAAAGAATAGTTGTACAAACCAATGAAGTAATCCCATTTCCAACAGTCCACAGATTTAAATCCGTGGAATATTCTGAATCATTCATGAACATCACAGCAAATATGATTAAAACATTTATGGCCCCCACGTAAATAAGGAGTTGTGCGGCAGCTACAAAATGGGAATTTGATAGAATATACAATAAAGATATACAAACAAGAACAAATCCTAAGGAAAAGGCTGAAAATATTGGGTTGGGAAGTAATACCACTTCCAGACCTCCTATTATAAGACCGGATCCCAGAAAAACTAAAAGAAAATCATGTATTGGTCCAGGCAAATCCATTATATTATTAAAATAACAAAAAAAAAGAAATCCTTTTCATGACCTTATTAATTTAACCGGGGAATTTGTTTTAAATATGTTTCTAATAGAGTAAAATTAGAATCTAATGGATATGAATTGAGGTAGATACAATTATTAGACAGTTTCGCCTTTTTTATTCTTTATTTATTCTAAAGTTTATTTTCAACCTATCCATTTCAAGAATTCAATAAAGTAATTACGAATATATTATATTAAAAGAATGCGCCTTAAATACTTCACATTATTATATAAATACAATACAAATTTTTAATTAAATTCTTTATATAATTCAACCATTTTGGATTCTTTTTTTAATAAAATTAATGGGTTTACCCATTTTTTGTTTCAGGTGAATTCAAAATTGTTCGAATAGTGTAATCGTCAATTACTGACATTGGTAAACAATCCAAAGCTATTTGATTATAATTTAATTCGTGACGATCATAAGTTGAAAATTCATATTCTTCAGTCATTGACAAACAATTTGTTGGACAATACTCAACACAATTACCACAAAATATACAAATTCCAAAATCAATACTGTAATTAAGCAATCGTTTTTTCGAATATTAGTTTCCAATTTCCAATCAACAACAGGTAGATCAATAGGACATACTCGAACACATACTTCACAAGCAATGCATTTATCAAATTCGAAATGGATTCGACCGCGGAAACGTTCTGATGTTATTAATTTTTCATAGGGATATTGAATAGTTACAGGTAAACGATTTGTGTGGGATAAGGTAATCATGAAACCTTGACCAATATACCTTGCAGCTCGTAGGGTTTGTTGACCATAATTCATGAACCCGGTTATCATAGGAAGCATATTGTAATTATCTATGAATAATTTGATCTTTATTTCTTTCTCTTGTTTAAAGAATATGTTGGATTCATTTTCAATTTAGAGTGAAAAGAGTTGGAAAGAAGTTGTTAATAATAGATTACCAAGCGAAATCGGTAAAAGAAATTTCTATCCAAGATTTAATAGTTGATCCATTCTTAGCCTAGGTAAAGTCCATCTTGTTGCGATAGAAATGAACAAGAACAAATAAGTTTTAGCTAATGTAATAAAGATACCAACTGTTGTTCCAAAAATGGGATCCCTCTCAAATAGCTCCAGAATAGATACATATGGAATAGAAATATTTCAACCGCCTAAGTATAGAGCTGTTACAAATAATGAGGAAATTAATAGATTTAGATAAGAAGCAACGTAAAATAAACCAAATTTGATACCGGAATATTCAGTTTGATAACCCGCTATTAATTCTTCTTCCGCTTCTGGTAAATCAAACGGTAACCTCTCGCATTCTGCTAGGGAAGAAATTAGAAAAATGATAAAACTATAGGTTGACGCCACAAATTCCATCCCCAAAAACCATATTTTGATTGTACCTCAACTATATCAACTGTACTTAAACTGTTAGATAATTATAGTCGGTGATAACATTACTATTCTCACTGCTATTACAAAACCGTACATGAGGTCTTCGCCTCATACGGCTCCTCGGGGGCCATAAATAAATCTAAGGACCGGATTAGTATTATTTATATCGATATGATGTGTTCTAAAATGGATTAAATAAAAATATATCCGGGGTCCCGAATTATACCAATGGAATTCTGTCTGCTAAAATTCTTAAGAATAAAAAAAGCGCTTCGGAATTCATCTCATCCTTTACAAATTTTAATTTCTATTTGTTGAGTAATAACTGAATCCTTTAATAAAATACTCCTTAGTAAAACGTAAAAATATGTATTTCCGCCCGTCTTAGTTTTCAATTACGAAAAAGAATTAGACATCCTATTAGTTTCTTATTCATGACATAAAGTCTATTTTATTTTCAAAATATATGAAAATAAATATTCTTGTTTTGTTCCTTTTCTTATTTATTTTTTTCGAAAAAATAAAGTTGGTGGACTTAAAAAATAAAGGATTATTTCGTTTCTGATAGTCATTACATTTATCGGTGGATAGGAGCATACTCTGAATCGGAATCTTGGGGAGTACTGTCTGATCATTTCTACGAATTTCAAGCCCCAATTAACCTTCTTTTTTTTGTTATCTTATGTTATGCATAAATATCCTTTTTCAATTTGATTAATCTCTATTACAAATTCTTTGTGTATTTTGGTGTTTCTAAGCATCCACTCATTTTACCTAATTGCCTCTCAATTTGTAATACATGTATGTTAATCTATATAACTATAACTGATAGTGAAAACGTCATACGGTTAATCTTTTTTTTTTAACCCGCTTCAAGCCAGGATGACTAATCAACCAACCTTGGGGTAAAGTTATTCTTACGCTTATGTTTATTTTCGTTTAACCTTTGTACATAGGAAATGAGATTCAATTTTTATTTTTACTGCTAATTTAGAAGCAGTTTTTTTCACTCATATATAACTATCAAATTACTTTTATTAAGATTAACCTGAAAGATAAATAAATATATATATATATAGTCCGTTTTTTAACTTATTCGTCTAGAAGAAACAGAATAGTCAAAATAAACGTTTTTGTTTCAACGAATCGCACGTAGAGATATTGATAAAACACATAGAGTTAATGGTATTTCATAACTAATAGATTGGGCAGCAGCTCGCAGACCACCTAAAAAAGAATATTTATTATTTGATCCATATCCTGATATAAGAAGTCCAATCGGAGCAATACTTGAGATGGCAATCCATAAAAAAATACTGATATTGAGATCCGCTAAAACAAGGTGATTGCTAACGGGAAGTACAGAATAACTTAGTAAAATTGAAATAACTGCTATAGATGGTCCAATACTAAATAAAGGAGTATTTCCTCTATATGGACGAAGATCTTCTTTGAAAAGTAGTTTTGTCCCATCGGCTAGAGCTTGAAGAATTCCCAGCGGGCCGGCGTATTCAGGTCCAATACGTTGTTGTATCCCTGCAGATATTTCTCGTTCTAACCACACAATTACTAGTACACCTGTTATGATTCCCAATATAAGAGAAAATATAGGGACAAATATCCATATGAGTCCATAGACCTCTTTTAAAGATTCCAACCTAACAAAAGAATTTATAGTTTGTACTTCTGTTGCATAAATTATCATTTTAACGATCAACCTCTCCCATAATTATATCTATGCTACCGAGTATCGTCATAATATCAGCCAGTTTCATTGTTTTAACTAGTTCAGGAAGAATTTGCAAATTAATAAAACCCGACGGTCGGATTTTCCATCTCCAAGGAAAACCACTTTGATCTCCTATCAGAAAAATTCCCAATTCCCCTTTTGGAGCTTCAACTCTTACATAAAGTTCTTGTTTCGATAATTCAAACGTAGGAGAAGGTTTTTTACTAATGAATCGATATTCAAAATCATTCCATTCTGTATTCCTTTTTCTATCAAAGCCTCTGCTTTCTAAATTCTCATAGGGACCCCCCGGAAGTCCTTCGAGAGCCTGTTGAATAATTTTTATGGATTCTGTCATTTCGCTAAGTCGTACTAAATAACGAGCTAATGAATCTCCTTGTTTTTGCCACTGAATTTCCCATTCAAATTCATCGTAAGATTCATAACGATCAACTTTACGAAGATCCCATGGTATTCCGGATGCTCGTAGCATTGGTCCGGATAAACCCCAATTTATTGCTTCTTCGCCACTAATAATCCCAACGCCTTCAACCCGTTCTAAAAAAATAGGATTTCGTGTAATCAGTTTTTGATATTCAACAACCTCTGTTAAAAAATAATCACAAAAATCCTAGCATTTATCTATCCAACCATAAGGCAAATCAGCCGCTATTCCTCCAATACGAAAAAAATTATGCATCATTCTCATACCGGTGGCAGCTTCGAATAGATCATATACAAATTCTCGTTCTCTGAAAATATAGAAAAAGGGAGTCTGTGCCCCAATATCTGCCATAAAAGGGCCAAGCCATAACAGATGAGAAGCTATACGACTCAATTCCAGCATAATTACTCTGATATAGCTGGCCCTTTTAGGAACTTGAATATTTCCCAATTGTTCTGGTCCATTTACTGTTATTGCTTCTGTAAACATAGTAGCTAAATAATCCCATCGCGTTACATAAGGTAAATATTGTATAATTGCGCGGTTTTCGGCAATTTTTCCCATTCCTCTATGTAAATAACCCAATATGGGTTCACAGTCAACAACATCCTCGCCATTTAGAGTAACAATTAGGCGAAGAACACCATGCATGGATGGGTGGTGAGGTCCCATATTGACTATCATAAGATCTTTTCCTGTAACTGGTCTCTTCATAAGTTTTTCCTTTATTCGTTCTGGCATGAATTAGATTGCTGAAAAAGAAGTTTATCAAAAAATTCAATATCTAAAAAATTAACTAATTCACAATTTTGGAATTTAACGAGTTTTTAATTCCCGAATATTCAACTGATTAATTAATTCTTTATAACGTACTCTATTTTTTTTTGACAAATAAGCCAGCAGTCGTTGACGTTTTCCCAGAATTTTTCGTAGACCCCTCTGAGATAAATAATCTTTTCTGTGCAATTCCAAATGTGAAGTAAGTCTTCGTATCTTATTAGTGAAACTTAATACTTGAAATTCAACAGATCCCCTGCTTTCTTCTTTTTTTTCTTGAAATGAAATGAATGCATTTTTTATCATAAAAAGAAATCCTTCCTTTTTTTATTTTTTAATATGAATAGAAAGATATGAATTTTACTGATCAGTAATAATAATGGTAGTTTTTTTGTACAAGGATCTGAATTTAATTATCAACTTCTTAATTTTATAAAAAAAAGTCTAAATTTAGATCTAAAAAAGGAGGATTCTTTTAATTTATTTATGAAGCTGCTCTGATTGGTATCTATGTCATTGATTAAATGAATCTCATGTATAAAGGATTTAATTTAAAATAATTCCTCAAATTTGTGCATATAATTGTTTTCATATACCGTAACTTATATATTATATATAGTAAAACGGATCTATCATTAATGAATTTGAAATCGCTTATACATATGTATTCTTATCATACTGAAATGATTTCTGTTACTAGTATTAAACCAATAGCGATTCATACAAGCTAAATCTTCTAATCTAAAATTGGGCCAAAGAAAGGATTTTAATTTAATTAGGTTCTTTTTATCATTATCAAGATCTTTTTTTTATGCAAAACTGTGGTCAAGTTTTTAATATTCGTATCAAATCTTGAATTTCTATCTCTCGCATTTTTTTTAAGTTGAAACAAATTAGAATTCGAAATTCTCTGCGTCGTTTCGGGGATAGAATATTTTCAGGGACAAAGAAATCATAATTATTTTTTTTATCAATATAGCTTTGTTTTTTATATGTTTTACTTATTTTGTGTTTATTTTTATGAACCAATGAAATACCTATGGTTCTATATATAATAAGTTGTCCATCATTTTTTACATATAAACGGATAGGTTCAATAATCAATATTCCCTTTTTCATTAATTTTTCAAAAGTGAAATTATTCTCAATCATTAGAATATCTAGGCTCATCTCTCCTCTTTCAATAGAAGATATCGCTATCTCGTTTGGATTTTTTAGTCTAACCAAGAGACAGTATACTTTTACATTATTAAGAATTTTTTGATTAAAAAAACAATTCCATCGCAATTGAAAACGCGAATACCTTGTGAGAAATAAATCAAGTTCCGCTTCGGTATTGCTTTTATATTGTTTTTTATTTTTACGTTTTGTTATCGTCGATTCTTCATAATTTTCTTTAATATTTTTTTTTTTCTTTATCTGATTCAAGCTCTCCTTGACCTGCCGAGTCTTTTTCTTCTTTATTTAGATTATAAAATAGAAGGTTTTTTTTTTCGTTTAATGGTATCAAACCTTTTTTATTTAAAGTGGTCTTTTTATTAACATTTTTTTTTCATTAAAATTGAAAAGAAGTAATTTAATTGGTATGACCCACGATTTCATTTTATATGTACTAGAACATAAGAAAAGTTCTGGAAAGAAAAACAATTCAAAATTTGTTATACGACGATTTAGTATTTCTTCATTCATTCCCATCCAATCAAAAAATAAACTTTTTGGATTGGCAAGATCCTTATTAGTTATTTTATCAATTCTTTGATAATTCTGAACGTTAGTCTTAATATATTTTTTTTGACTCTTGGTATCAACCCAGGGCTCAATATTGACTTTTTTTCTAAACCAAAAGTTGAGAATTCTCCAATCCAAATATTTTCTATGCGGAATTTCCCCTATACCCCTAATATTATATTTTTCTAGAAAACAAGAGACTAAACAATTATCTAGAGCAATGCCTATATACATGTCAAATTTTTTTTCTGTAGAATTAATAGATTTGTAGCAAAAAAGATTATATATATAATCTTTTTTCAAATTATGTTTTGGGTTTAACAATGAGTTGGTCTCAAAAAAATTTTGTTTTTTGTAATTATAAAATTTGTTTTTTTCATATGAATCTGCTTTTGTTAAACTTCGATTTAGAACGGTAGAGTCCTGGTTTATTTTCTTTTTCCATTTTTGGGTTACTAATCTAGCCCATGCAATCTGAGGTAAATTGTATTGAGAATGACTTCGTAACTAGTTTTTCCATGGATTGACTTCCGAATTAAAAAAGGTTTTATCTTTCAATTCATAACTACAATTTTTTTATAGGATATTAAATTTTTTATAGTCGAAATAAAATAAATGGTATTTTCTTTTTTTATTAATTTTTGCTCCATTTTCTTCATTCTTGTAAATATATTTATCAAGAATTGTTTTTGTTGATTCAAAAAAAAGTTGTGTAGTAATTCTTGGAATATTAATGATACCTAGAAAAATAGTTATAGACAGTTGTTCAATGCAAAATTTCAAAAAAAAAAAAGATTTACGAATTAATCGGGTATTTTTTCTTTTGAATGCCTGCCAACTTTTTTTTGATGACTCCATTATTTTAGAATCATAATGCGGTTTGTTACAACTAGTAGTTCTAGTAGTTCGGTTTTCTTTTTCTTTTGAAATTTCTTCTGTTTGATTTCTAATTGTCTTTATTCTATCAATCAAAAATTTTTTTTCTTTCGCTGAGTGAAGAATTTGTCCACTCCATGTATTTTTTTTTAACAGATAGTTCATGAATCATCTGATTACTCATTATTGAATCTTTTTTAGTTTCATTTAATTCAGATATTTCTCTAAGGCCAAATAATGGAATTAGATTTGGTTTTGAAAGGTTTTTTTTTTCCTTTTATAAAAAACACGTTTTTGATAATCCAGTTTTTAATTCCTTTTGAGACTTTTAGAAAAATCGTCGCTCTTTCTTTGAAAATAAAAACCAGAAAGGACTTAGTTTTTAATTTTTTGATTCTTTTTTTTAATTCTTTAAAAATAGGTTCAAAAAAAGAAGGCTTTTTTTTGGTAGAACCAAACGGTATTTCAGTTTCCAGTCCCCAAACTGTTAAAAAACAAAAATCATTTTTTTCTCCTTTGTCTTTTGTTTTTTTTAGTTTAGCCTTCTGAGATGATTGAAATTTAGATTTATGCCAAGGTTTAAGATAAAAAGGAAATAGTATTTTTATCTGAATACCATCCGTTAACCAGTTTCTTGAAAATTCTGTTTCGGATAGTTGAACCCCATTATAAGTACATTTAACATGCATTTCACGTTTCCAATCCTTTAAATCCTCAGCCCACTCGGTCAAAGCAGGCATATGCCAAACGTGAATACCCCCCGAAGCCACAGGTAGAACACCCGGTAGTGAGACCCAATCTTGAGTGAAAAAGATACCGCGGCTTCGATCTTTTTCAACATAATCATCGCGCAGTAAATCAACAAAGCCCAAAGTTGACTCCCTGTCTCCTTCAAGTTTACCTACTACTGTACCCGCGTGAATATGATCTCCACCAGATAGACGTAAAGCTTTAGCTAGTACACGGAAGTGCATACCATGATTCTTCTGTCTATCAATAACAGCGTGCATTGCACGGTGGATGTGAAGAAGTAGGCCATTATCTCGGCAATAATGAGACAAACTAGTATTTGCGGTGAATCCCCCAGTTAAGTAGTCATGCATTACGATAGGAACTCCCAATTCTCTGGCAAATACAGCTCTTTTGATCATTTCTTCGCATGTACCCGCAGTAGCATTCAAATAATGCCCTTTGATTTCACCTGTTTCAGCCTGTGATTTATAAATAGCTTCGGCACAAAATAAGAAACGGTCTCTCCAACGCATAAATGGTTGGGAGTTCACATTCTCATCATCTTTGGTAAAATCAAGTCCACCACGTAGACATTCATAAACTGCTCTACCGTAGTTCTTCGCGGATAACCCCAATTTAGGTTTAATAGTACATCCTAATAGGGGACGTCCATACTTGTTCAACTTATCTCTTTCAACTTGGATACCATGAGGTGGTCCCTGGAAAGTTTTAGTATAAGCAGGAGGGATTCGCAGATCCTCTAGACGTAGAGCAGCCAGGGCTTTGAACCCAAATACATTACCCACAATCGAGGTAAACATGTTAGTAACCGAACCTTCTTCAAAAAGGTCTAAGTGGTAAGCTACATACGCAATAAATTGAGTTTCTTCTCCTGGAACGGGCTCGATGTGGTAGCATCATCCTTTGTAACTCCGGGTTGAGGAGTTACTCGGAATGCTGCCAAGATATCAGTATCCTTGGTTTCATATTCAGGAGTATAATAAGTCAATTTATACTCTTTAACACCAGCTTTGAATCCAACACTTGCTTTAGTCTCTGTTTGTGGTGACATAAGTCCCTCCCTACAAGTCATGAATTTAGAATTCTTGCAATAAAACAAAACAACAAGGTCTACTCGACATAAATTAGGAATAGATTTAATTAACCTTTTTCACAGGAATCTTTCACAAAATTATCAACTAATCAGAATGCTTTTTTATTAGACCATGATATTTGATTCGCCAAATACATCATTATTGTATATTCTTTCATATGTATAGCGCAACCTAATACTTGTTTTTCAAGTTTTGAATCTTTGACTTTTTATAAATCGAAATATTTAATATTAAAATAATAATAAAATCACTCTTGACAGTAATATATTTTGTATATGTAAATCCTAGATATGACAATATGCGGAATTCATCCATGAAAATGAAAAATAAGGGGGTTGATAAAGGGATGAATAGATGGGACGCATAACCGGAAATGCTAAAATGAAAATACGAAAAAGGGCTAATGCGATTGAAATAATGAATCATAAATAGAGTTCCGTTTCGAATTCGCTAGATAAAACAAAGTCTTGCCTATTATGATAAATAAATCAAAGACTTTCTGCAAAATTGTTATTTTTTATTCATATATTTTTTATTTTAAAACTAGGTTTCGGTTAGTTGAGCTTGAAAATAAATATTCCTTCATTGAATAAGTAAAAAATTGAATTGCACATTCGCTTGGGTGGTACCAACGAAATCGAGTGCTTACTCCCATTTATTATTGAATTAACCGATCAATTTGCTATCGAAGATTTTTTCTGTATTCGAAAAATTTCGCATCAAAATTTAACATATTTTTTAATTTTTGTTATGAGAATAAATCCTCCTACTTCGGATCCAGAGGTTTCGATATGTGAAAAAAAAACCTGGGACGTATTTCCCAAATCATTGGTCCGGTACTGGATGTAGCGTTTCCCCCGGGCAAGATGCCTAATATTTACAATGCTCTGGTGGTTAAGGGTCAAGATACTCTTGGGGAAGAAATTAATGTGACTTGTGAAGTACAGCAATTATTAGGAAACAATCGAGTTAGAGATGTAGCTATGAGTGCGACAGAGGGTTTAAAGAGAGGAATGGATGTGGTTGATATGGGAAATCCTCTAAGTGTTCCAGTCGGCGGAGCGACTCTAGGACGAATTTTCGACGTGCTTGGGGAACCTGTTGATAATTTAGGTCCTGTCGATACTCGCACAACATCTCCTATCCTATTTTGAAAATACGCCTTAATAACCAATGGTTAACAATGGTTCTGATGGGCGGTTTTGCTAGAATAGGCAATAATGAAATCACTATTTTAGTAAATGATGCAGAGAAGAATAGTGACATTGATCCACAAGAAGCTCAGCAAACTCTTGAAATAGCAGAAGCGAACTTGAGAAAAGCTGAAGGCAAGAGACAAACAATTGAGGCAAATCTAGCTCTCAGACGAGCTCGGACACGAGTCGAGGCTCTCAATACGATTTGATTTTGTAACTAGCTGACGTGTAAAAAAAAAAAAAAGAATGTATAAAAAAAAATAGGATCGAAAAGCGAGAAAACCAATAAAAGAAAAAAAAAAAGCTGGTTACAAAAACTTATTAGACACCATTATCAATGGTGTCTAATAAGTTATACCTACTATTGGATTTGAACCAATGACTCCTGCCGTATGAAAGCAATACTCTAACCACTGAGTTAAGTAGGTTATTTATCATCGTAAAGAGAAGGCAAAGGAATACCTATCACATCGATAGGATTATAAATCCAATATTATTTCTAAGCAATACCAAATAAACAACGAGATTAAAGAGATATAATGTTCGATCATGTAATATTAATCTTGACAAGAAATTATCTACATGATAAGATAAAATGTGTATCACAAACACAAGGGCTATAGCTCAGTTAGGTAGAGCACCTCGTTTACACGTGCGCCAAAGTTTTTCAGAGGAGTCCACCACGCAATCAAACCAATTGATTGATCTTATTAATAAATCGATGTCTTACTCCATTACTTTTTTTTAGGAAAAAAAGAGGAGAACAATAGCCTGACATTAGGTCCTATTAAAGTACCCCGTTAGGTAGGGAATGAATAGAACCCATCGTTGATTTGAGATATTGATAGGGTGAATACCCAGTCCACTTAATGCTAGGCAGAATGAGTATAAGGAACTCAAAAATGCTCTTTTAATCAGGATGTTAGAGACTATATTTAACTTAAGTTGATCTAGACCAAAAGCAAACCTACATCAAGAGAACCCAACCCTTTTTTGAAACACTTTGGTAGTAATTCTGTATTGTATTAGAATTAAAAAATAATCAATCAGAGTACTTGGAACCATTTCTTATCTTTTTTTTAATAAAAAATATGGTAGACAAACTGATCTTTCTATCAGTTAATGAAAAAGCCCAATGCAAAAAAAAATGCATGTTGGGTCTTTAAAAGAGTTCGAATCATTTTGATAATAATAAGTTCGAATTCTTTTACCGAGCAGGTCTACGGTTCGAGTCCGTATAGCCCTAACTAAGAAATTGATTCTAATAAATTAAATGCCATTCAAATCCAAATAATTGGATAATTTTTTTACTTATTATTGTATTCTTTATTTCTAACTGGTTACTTTAAATTACTTGGTTCATAAAGTTCATAAAAAAAATTCCCATACCCTAAACCATAAGTCCTGGGGGTCGTTCAGAATAAAACGGAAAACCTAATTTGATTGCAATGGATCCAATCACTATCTATCTATCGATATATCTAGATAGATACTTAATAATTTAGAATAAACATTTTTTCTTCATGAATTTTCCTTGTTCACTGGCTACAATCAAAAAGTTCATAATACTTTCGTTTTTTGTATCCCCACTCAATCTTGGTTACTTTTTTTCTGACACGGCCCTGTTTAAAGATAAAAATAAAAACCGAAATCTAGATAAATTCAACCCAAATGAAATCTATCTAATACTAAGTAAGATGTCTACGTTAAAGTCTTACGGAATTTTTTGATACGTCATAATTTTAAAAACGAAGAGATTTTTCGAATTTTGTTTATTTTTAATTAAAACATAAACAAAATTTTATAAACAGGAATAAAAAAAATTACTAGTTATTAATCATATTAATATTATATTATTAATATTATAAACTATTAGTAATAGAAACATGAAAATATTAAGTAATTAAGTTTACTGAAAATAAGATTACAATCAATAAATCTTAAAATGAGACATCTACCACAGCAACCAAACGAAAATAAATGATTTGATTAACCTGAATTTTTTTTTTTTATTCAAGAGTTCTATATCCCTTGCCCAATCCACTCTGATTGGAATTTAATAAGCGGGTATTTTTTCCACATTCATAGGAGTTCGTCTATGTTTCTGCTTTACGAATATGATATTTTCTGGGCGTTTTTAATAATATCAAGTGCTATTCCTGTTTTGGCATTTCTAATTTCCGGAGTTTTATCTCCAATTAGGAAGGGGCCAGAGAAACTTTCTAGTTATGAATCAGGTATAGAACCGATCGGGGATGCTTGGTTACAATTTAGAATCCGTTATTATATGTTTGCTCTAGTTTTTGTTGTTTTTGATGTTGAAACAGTTTTTCTGTATCCGTGGGCAATGAGTTTCGATGTACTGGGGGTATCCGCTTTTATAGAAGCTTTCATTTTCGTGCTTATCCTAATTCTTGGTTTAGTTTATGCATGGCGAAAAGGAGCGTTGGAATGGTCTTAGTTCGTTTACTGAATACTTGTACAATAACAATAAAAAAAACTAAAAAAAACCATTGAAACAATTATGAATTCCATTAAGTTTCCCGTAATTGATCGAACAACAAAAAATTCAGTTATTTCAACTACGTTAAATGATCTTTCAAATTGGTCAAGACTTTCCAGCCTATGGCCGCTTCTTTATGGTACCAGTTGTTGTTTCATTGAATTTGCCTCATTAATAGGCTCCCGATTTGACTTTGATCGTTATGGGCTAGTACCAAGATCAAGTCCTAGGCAGGCGGACCTTATTTTAACAGCAGGTACAGTAACAATGAAAATGGCTCCTTCTTTAGTGAGGTTATATGAACAAATGCCTGAACCAAAGTATGTTATTGCTATGGGAGCGTGTACAATTACAGGTGGGATGTTCAGTACCGATTCTTATAGTACTGTTCGAGGAGTTGATAAGCTAATTCCTGTAGATGTATATTTGCCGGGTTGTCCACCTAAACCAGAGGCTGTTATAGACGCTATAACAAAGCTTCGTAAGAAAATAGCTAGAGAAATCTATAAGGATCGAATTAGACCTCAACAGGGTAATCGGTGTTTTACTATCAATCACAAGTTTTTTGTTGTACGCAGTACACATACTGGAAATTATGATCAAGAATTACTCTATCCACCATCATCTACTTCAGAGATCTCTACTGAAACATTTTTTAAATACAAAAGTCCAGTATCTTCCCACGAATTAGTTAATTAGGGAGAATTTTAGAGAATAAGAAAAAATCTTCATAAATTAGAACTCATGGTAAATGTGAAATACTTATTTTATATAAAAATGGTGTGGGGGAAATAAAAAAGATGCAGGGCACTTTGTCCATTTGGCTAGCCAAACGTGGGCTGGTTCATAGATCGTTGGGCTTCGATTACCAAGGAATAGAGACTTTACAAATAAAGCCCGAAGATTGGCATTTTATTGCTGTAATTTTATATGTATATGGTTACAATTATTTACGTTCGCAATGTGCCTATGATGTGGCACCAGGTGGCCTCTTAGCCAGTGTGTATCATCTTACGAGAATCGAATATGGTGTCAATCAAGCCGAAGAAGTCTGCATAAAAGTATTTACTCCCAGGAGTAATCCCGGAATTCCATCCGTTTTTTGGGTTTGGAAAAGTACGGATTTTCAAGAACGGGAATCTTATGATATGTTAGGAATCACTTATGATAGCCATCCACGACTGAAACGGTAATGCCAGAAAGTTGGATAGGGTGGCCTTTACGTAAGGATTATATTGCCCCCAATTTTTATGAAATACAAGATGCTTATTGAATGCTAAAAAACGAGTCTTAGCTTCTACAACTACGGACCTTCACGGAATATTTTATTTTGAATTCGATTCTTTTTTAGATCAAACAAACAGAATAATTGAGGTCTTATTCATATTATTATAGATAGCTTGATCTCCAATTTGAAAGATACTTTTTTTCCGCAAAAGCCGAGCCAATATGAGGAACTAAAAAAAGAGTTCTGCATTATGAACTTTGTATCGCGCACATAACTTAGTCAACTTTAGTCACATAACTGGGAATTAATAAATAAGATCGCAAAGCAATAAAAAAGGGGGGTACAATTATATTTCTATATATATCTAATGAATCTTGGGATATTTATGTCCTTCAACTTTAAACTATAGATATAGACCCTTTTTTTTTTACTTGTTTTGTTTGATTCTTTCAAACAGAACTTTCCTTTAGAATATGTATTATATATAAAGATAAAGTATTACACATTCTTTTTGAACGGGTGGATCCACAAGATGAACAAAAAAAGAGAGGGGGATAAAGGATGATTGCACTTTTTTTACTAAAGATACGTTTAATTTAAAGAATATAAACTTATCAAAATTAATAAATCCTATGCCAAGAACCAGATTTGAACTGGTGACACGAGGATTTTCAGTCCTCTGCTCTACCAACTGAGCTATCCCGGCCATTAGTCAAGTATCATCCTCATTTTACTATATGACTTAGGTCTATGTCAATTAAAAGAAACACAAAAGTAGTAAATGAAAAAGTTTTGGACCGGGAATTTCTTGGATCTTCGAAAAGAAAACTTTCTAAGTTTTCGAAATGAATAATGATATAGATTCTAAATAATTCAAATCGATATTTATTTCTCATTTGTACGTGTATGATATATCCCACAAGACTTGTATATAATAAGAAAAGAACTTATAGTTTTTATAAAAGTGTAGTTTGTAAAAGTGTAGGATGAATGAAAAAAGCTAATGAATTTTTGAATAACTAAAAAAAGGTAAGTAAGGTGTCAAACATACTTTTGGGGTGGAGTAGAGTTGGGGATAGAGGGACTTGAACCCTCACGATTTTAAAAGTCAACGGATTTTCATCTTACTATAAATTTCATTGTTGTCAGTATTGACACTCTATCTTTATTCTCGTCCAATTAATAAATTCCACCAAGGATCTACCAAACTATGAAGTGAATCATTTTATTAACACAAGGTAGTGAACGTAGTGAACTCCATTTGTTAGAACCGCTTCCGTTGAGTCTCTGCACCTATCCCTTTTTATCGCTTTCTAAACTCAGGTTTGTTCGCGTAAACCAGGATTTGGTTCAGGATGCCCATTGTTAATTCCAGGGTTTCTCTGAATTTGAAAGTTATCACTTAGTAGGTTTCCATACCAAGGCTCAATCCAATTAAGTCCGCAGCGTCTACCAATTCCGCCATATCCCCTTTTTTGAAAAGATACGTTTAATTTGAAAAATATAAAATTCTAAAAATTAATAAATCCTATGCCAAGAACCAGATTTGAACCGGTGACACGAAGATTTACAGTCCTCCGCTCTACCAACTGAGCTATCCCGGCCATTACTCAAGTATCATCCTCATAGTAGTATAGGACTTAGGTCTAAGTCATAGACCTAAGTCAATTAAAAGAAACACATAAAGTAAGTACGAAATGAAAAGGTTTTGGACCGGTGGAGGATTTAAAGTCCTCTGCTTTACCAACTGAGCTATCCCGGTCATTAGTCAAGTATCATCTTAATATTACTATATGGCTTAGGTCTATGACAATTAAAAGAAAAAAAAAAGTAGGAAATGAAAAGGTTTTGGACCGGTGGAGGATTTAAAGTCCTCTGCTCTACCAACTGAGCTATCCCAGTCATTAGTCAAGTATCACCCTCATATTACTATTGAACCGGTGGAGGATTTTCAGTCCTCTGCTCTCCCAGCTGAGCTATCCAGGTCATTAGTCAAGTATCATCCTAATATTACTATAGGACTTAGGTCTATGTCAATTAAAAGAAAAAAAAAGTAGGAAATGAAAAGGTTTTGAACCGGTGGAGGATTTTCAGTCCTCTGCTCTCCCAGCTGAGCTATCCCGGCCATTACTCAAGTATCATTCTCATATTACTATATGACTTAGGTCTATGTCAAGGTCTATGTTAATTAAAAGAAACGCAAAAGTAGTAAATGAAAAAGTTTTGGACCGGAAATTGTCTTAAATTTGAATAAATCAGCGAACAGTCGATTGTTTTTTACTTCCATGAAAAGAAATTTATGATTATTATTGAAACTTAGAATTCTACAATGGGCAATGTAAAAAGATTGTAAGTCCACTTCGTAGATTTGGACTTCGAATAATTCTAAAAAATTCTATTCGAATATGCATTTCTAATATTAATTAGAATTAGAAAGAAAATAAAAAGACAAAAAGTATAAAATAATAATAATAGCATGAGGTTAGAACAAAAAAACAAGAATTTCAAATCAGATATCATTTAACTTCAAAAAAAAATCTGATCTAATTAAGATTTTCTTATTTATAAACTAATGAAAGTAAACTTATAAAGTCGATATATTGCTATATTCTATTAATTAATTAAGGTTATGTTTTATTTATTTAATGATATTCACTATTTATTTGAGCTATATTCTGTTCTAGAATATATAGAAATAGAATATGATTAATTTTAAATAGATAAATAAAAATATGAATAGAATAGTTAATTGATACGATCTAGTAGTTTAGTGAATTTGTATGCATGCGCTATTTTATTTGAGCCCGCTTAGCTCAGAGGTTAGAGCATCGCATTTGTAATGCGATGGTCATCGGTTCGATTCCGATAGCCGGCTTTTCCATATTTTTTCGTTTTTTTTACATGATTTTTAATATACTTTCAAAATCAAAGAAGATTGAAAAGACTTCTTTTACCTTTTTCCAAGAGTTACCACGCCATTTATATTATGGCATATAAACTTCCATAATTCCATATAGGAATATATATTGGGTAAAGGGGTTAGATCTTTGCAAAATAAATCAAGAAAATAAAGGAAAACTTTGGTGATTTATTTGATGTATATATATTGTATATACAATAAATAAAATCTGTATATTGATAGAATATATCTTCTTACTCTTTGTATTCCAATACTTTATTGGAATAGTTTATTGGAGTGGATTTAACGTCATTTATCATTATCATTTAGTTCAGTTTTAATTTTGTTTAGTTTTGTACAATTTCAATAAAAAAAAGGAGTCTTTATGTCACGTTACCGAGGGCCTCGTTTTAAAAAAATACGCCGTCTGGGGGCTTTACCGGGACTCACTAGTAAAAGGCCTAAGGCAGTAAGCGATCTTAGAAACCAATCACGCTCCGGAAAAAAATCTCAATATCGTATTCGTTTAGAAGAAAAACAAAAATTGCGTTTTCATTATGGTCTTACAGAACGCCAATTACTTAAATATGTTCGTATCGCCGGAAAAGCCAAGGGGTCAACGGGTCAAGTTTTATTACAATTACTTGAAATGCGTTTGGATAACATCCTTTTTAGATTGGGTATGGCTTTGACTATTCCTCAAGCGCGCCAATTAGTTAACCACGGACATATTTTAGTGAATGGTCGTATAGTTGATATACCAAGTTATCGCTGCAAACCCCGAGATATTATTACAGTGAAGGATGAACAAAACTCTAGAACTTTGGTTAAAAATCTTCTTGATTCATCTGCCCCCGAGGAATTGCCAAACCATCTTACTCTTCACACATTCCAATATGAAGGGTTAGTAAATCAAATAATAGATAGGAAATGCGTCGGTTTGAAAATAAATGAATTGCTTGTCGTAGAATATTACTCTCGACAGACTTAATAAAACTAACTTAAGTAAAAAAAATAACTAAAAACAAGAGTTCGGACAAATCCCCTTTGACCTCTTTTTTTTATTAAAAATAAAAAGGCACAAGTTAAGGGATTTGGTCGGGGAATCTTTTTACTATTCATGTATCATAGATTGGTAGGGAGGTTTGGATCCCTTGTTTGTTCTTCCCAGCATTTTCCATATCAAAGAAATGTAGATTTTATATCTATTATTTTTTATTTGATTTGATACATTGTGGTCAATCACGTAAGATTTGTGAATTAGTTGAAAGTACGGAAAGAGAGGGATTCGAACCCTCGGTAAACAAAAGTCTACATAACAGTTCCAATGTTACGCCTTCAACCACTCGGCCATCTCTCCGACATCAGGATTATGACTGAGTACCTGGGTGAATAGCGAGTTATTCATCGTTTTTTAGATTATGGTTAATAGCTACCCTTTTTGACCGGAAAAAATTGGAAGTAGATAGAATGTTTTTTTTATTTTAACGATTCCGCTTTTATGTTAGTTCGTACTATAAAATTCCTTTGTTTGTGAGAAAATTTTCTCACAAAAGAAAAGGTGAAGGAAATAAAAAGAGTTATAGAATGGATTACTACCTATGCCAAGATCGCGTATAAATGGAAATTTTATTGATAAAACCTTTGCAATTGTAGCCGATATCTTATTACGAGTCATTCCGACAACTTCGGGAGAAAAAGAGGCATTTACTTATTACAGAGATGGTGCGATTTGATTATCATTATTTTATTTTTATTTCTCGCCGATTTGGAATAGAAAGAAAAACGAGTATTGAAAAAAATCTACGCTTTTGAAGGTGAAGTTTATAATATAAAAAAGCAATCCTTTCTGTCATGTATCCACGATTAATACAGCCTTAGATGCTTGAATTTTGAATTTTAGTATTGAGCAAAAGGTTTTTACCTATGGTTCATGTATTACAGATCAATCCGACTACACTAATACAATATACGAATAGGAGGCACATGGGAAGAAGCACTACGCCGAGAAATCAACAACACGAAAACTTTCTTCAAAACGATTCCTTTTCTTTCTTTTTCTTCTTTGGGATTGGGACTAATTAAAATGGTTGGAACAATAAACATCCATCTCGTCCGTACTTTGGATACCCGTATAACCATTGAAGACTGTTGAAGTGACTAATTCCTGGAAATTTAGGGGCGTTGAGAACAAAGAAATTTTTAGAGTTTCCTTTTTTATTTTTATCTAGCATGAACCCAATTGGTAGTAAAAAAATATCTTTTGCAAGAAGGTTGGCTAGGGATTTTTTGTAAAAACATTAGCCCCGCTTAGTTCATAATGACATCAAATTTTCTATATATTGATTATTTTCATTATGTACCTAAAGGAGGAGCCGTATGAGATGAAAATCTCACATACGGTTCTGAAACGGAGAATTCGTTAAAGCGAATGACGACCGTAACGGATGTCGGCTCAATCTGAAGGAAATTATGCGGAAGCATTACAGAATTATTATGAAGCTATGCGACTAGAAATTGACCCCTATGATCGAAGTTATATACTCTATAATATAGGCCTTATCCACACAAGTAATGGGGAACATACCAAAGCTTTAGAATATTATTTTCGGGCATTAGAACGAAACCCCTTTTTACCACAAGCTTTTAATAATATGGCTGTGATCTGTCATTACGTGCGACTATCTCCACTATAGAAAAAAAGAACGAACAGCTAGTCAATGAAATACTAGAAACAAAAAAAAGGCTTTCTACATAAGCATCGTCCAAAACGATTTTTTATCAGCTGTATCAAATAAATAAACTTCATAGATTGAAATATGAAGTGAAGACTAGATATTCCTAAATACTTTCTCCCCTATGGATAAAAAAAGATTTAATTGATAGAGTAAACACCGTAAAGATCAATTGGAAAGGTTTTGGACCGATACAATAAGAGCTGTTTATCTATATCATAATATGAGATAAATCTTAGGAATCTACTTATGTAATAGAGTGGATCCCCGAAGGTATTGAGCAGCGGTGTAGAATCAGATCCTAAAGACAGTAAGTCTTTTTATTTTTTATGAAGTATGAAAAAAAGTCTTTTTCAAAGATTCTATATAAATTTTTATATGAAAGCGGGATAGTTACCTTTCAGAAAATTCTAATATCTAATAACAGTGGACATGCCTTTTTTTCTGAAGGTAGGAAAAAAGATAAAACTTATTATATTAATTAAAAATATATTAATGAAATCAAAATGAAAGTTTGAAACTCATGTAATTACTCTCTTTTGTTTAATCCAAGAAAAACCGAAGATCTATAAGAAATCTCATTCAATTAGACATTCAATTAGATATAAAGTTAAAGTGGGTTAAAGTTAAAAAACCGGTACACCACCAAAACAAAAGAGTTGGTTGTCGAGCCGTATGAGGTAGGAAACTCTCAAGTACGGTTCTCAGGGAGGGAATTGAACTGCCTATTCCGACCGTGGAGAACAGGCCATTCAACAAGGAGATTCTGAAATGGCGGAGGCTTGGTTCGCTCAAGCCGCTGAGTATTGGAAACAGGCTATAACGCTTACTCCTGGTAATTATATTGAAGCACAGAATTGGTTGACGATCACGAGGCGCTTCGAATAAGAATAAAAACTTTTCCTTATGTTTATTTTTTTTATTCTATATATATATCTTTATTTGTTTTTACAATTAATCTAATCGTTTTTTAAGTTTCGTGGCCCCCTCAGTCAAAGAAAACGGATCCTTTTTTTCTATCAGAAGAACCAATCAAATAAAAAAAATTTCATTATATCCTTTTCTCAAATCGTTCTATTTCATCTGGTATTCTTTAGGGGTAAGTAGTACATGAATATGAGAATGTCTATATATCTAGTTTTTTCTATTTTTTTCTTTTCTACTATTAAAACCAATAAAAGAGTAAAACCAATAAAAGAGATTTGAAAATGACTAAATATCAATACTATAATGTTTCTTAGTAATGACTAATAAGTGTTTATTGAAATAGAATAATATCCTCTATTTCGATTTATTTAAAAAAGCATAAAAAATAGGCTAGATTTCGGAATTTATAATTGAAATATGAATACACTAGATTAGGTTATAAAAAAAACTCTTTGTGTATCAATGTAAAGGGCGCGAAAACTTTTTTTAATAAAAAAAGGGTCCCTTGAGCACCCTATGGATATGTCATAATAGATCCGAACACTTGCCCCAGATCGACTTCCAGATCATAATTTCTCTAGTGAATAACTAAAGAAAATACTGATGAATAGATGGGAGATAGAAGAGAAAGAAAAAATTCTAAGCATCTATCATCGGTTCACTAATTACTTGAGTGACTGTTGGCGGGTTTCTTTGTATGTGTTGTCCGGAAAGAGGAGGACTCAATGATTATTTGTTCGCCGGAACCAGAAGTCAAAATTTTGGTAGATAGGGATCCCATAAAAACTTCTTTCGAGGAATGGGCTAAACCCGGTCATTTCTCAAGAACAATAGCTAAGGGACCTGATACTACCACTTGGATCTGGAACCTACATGCTGATGCTCACGATTTTGATAGTCATACCAGTGATTTGTAGGAAATCTCTCGAAAAGTATTTAGTGCCCATTTCGGCCAACTCTCTATCATCTTTCTTTGGCTGAGTGGCATGTATTTCCACGGTGCTCGTTTTTCCAATTATGAAGCATGGCTGAGTGATCCTACTCACATTGGACCCAGTGCTCAGGTGGTTTGGCCAATAGTGGGCCAAGAAATCCTGAATAGAGATGTGGGCGGAGGCTTCCGAGGAATACAAATAACCTCTGGCTTTTTTCAGATTTGGCGAGCATCTGGAATAACTAGTGAATTACAACTTTATTGTACCGCAATTGGCGCATTGGTCTTCGCAGCCTTAATGCTTTTTGCTGGTTGGTTCCATTATCACAAAGCAGCTCCAAAATTGGCTTGGTTCCAAGATGTAGAATCTATGTTGAATCACCATTTAGCAGGGCTACTAGGACTTGGGTCACTTTCGTGGGCAGGACATCAAGTACATGTATCTTTACCGATTAACCAATTTCTAAATG